CAAGAGATACACTAATTACATACCCCCATATGTTTATTATAGATATTGGTTGATTTATCGACGTGTAGTCTTTCTTTTTCATATCCTCTGAATGCGATGAGCTATGGTTTAATTTTATTTTTGAAAAACATATTAACAAAATTACACGTAGCTAGTCAGCTAGGGATCGAATCGAATATGTTTTAAAAAATCATACTCCCAAACAAGGAGGCCATGTTACTTATGAGTTATGAGTTAGACTCATGAATCTACCATGCAATCATAATACTGTAGTCTGCATATTTTTGATAATCACGTCTTTTTTGTGTTAGTAATAAAAGAATTGAATTCGGTTTATTTTTTTTTTTCGAACAAAATTACGTTAAGTCAGAGATCGATGATCATATCACTATATTAATTCATGTCAAAAAATGACTAATCACAATAAAACATATGCAAGTTGTAGATCTCAGAAATTAGTTTAGAAATCATAGTTAAGAAACCAGCGGGATTTTTGAATTCGGTTAAGAAAATTGAGATTTTCTGTTTAAGAAATAATATTCAGGCTATAGATGCATGTAGCATTAGTGCATTACCTAATTAAAGCGCATAAGTTTGGAAATAATTGTACGGCAAAAGAATTGTTAACACTTAATACAGTAAATATTCATATTAAAAAATCCTAAGAAAAGAAAACATAAATTCAATACTAAATTAATTAGTATAGAGTATCCGTATTTTTTTCAAGATTTAAAGCAATAATCGTATAAAAAGTCGATTCGATATCGTAAGGTCTTTAAATGTTCTTACAGAATCGCTATCTAGTCCATTTGTAACCATTATTACATCAATGCTATCATCTTTCGAATTGGATCAAATATGCTATATTTTGACAAAGGAATCTAAATACATAACTACATGAAAAATATTATCACCAAAGGTAATTATTGTCGCGTACCTTTACAAAGGAACTAACTAATATGACGGTGATTATTCTTGCAATATATAACTCGTTGACGTCTCACCAAGAAAGTCACTTTTCAAGAATATATTTGTTAAAAAAATGAGAAGTTGTTAATTTGTCTAAGTCATAATCCAGCTGGTTATATCCAATTCGATCAAAAATTATTCAATTTTTATCATCTATATTTTTTTTCTTGTTGTCTTATCTTGATTCAGCTTGACCAAGTTTCGTTTTTTTTTTTCGGTTATTAATCTATTTCATTTTGCCATTTGATTCCATTGCACATCCTCATATTCAGAAAAGATATGGGTCGTAATAATTCTTCTACCATGTTATTTTCTTACGTCAGATGTTAGTTAGATCATATTAACGTTTTCTTCTCTTGCATAATTTACCGTATATATTGAAAATACTAATAGAAAGGACAAGAAACGTGTTTTAAAGGTTAAACAAAGAAAATGTGAGGCTAAACTCCAAAACGAAAAATGGAAGAATCACTGTCACCGGCAGGAGCGGTATTCGTGTGTGTGACAGACCACCTTCCCTCTTATGTTCCTCCCACATTTCAAACTCAGCCGCCTTGAGTCAACGCGTTCTTTGTATTTTTTTACTTTTCATATATTTTCTATTGTCCCTAACCCTATTTTATTTGAAGAAAATGTATGTATTGGAACAAATAAAACATACATATTTAAGTGTCTTTTGTTGAACAAAGAAAAGATACAAGCAACTTGAAAAAAAAAACTGATTTACGTGCAAGCTTTTGATGAACATGTAACGTCACTTAATGCCGGTTTATAGATTCATTATTAGTCGATATACAAGTCCACTATATATAGATGGAAGACAATCTTAACTGTAGCTGTATCATCTAGGGTAAAGACTCAAAACTAAATTTTTAAGTTTTTCGTCTTCGATTGTAAATTTGATGTACCTAGGAATACATCCAATAGAAACTGATTTCTAGGCTTGACCTATATGCATTAACTGCGATATGGTTGGAATATACTGCATTCTGTTTATATATGAATATGTACATCGGGTTGATATTATCTATCGGATTGATTACATTTTGTGATAAAAGTGTAAATTAAGAATAGATGTGGTAACCATCTTTGACCAGTAGCAAGTTGGTGAGATCGAAAATAATATTTTTAGCTAAATCTAGCTGTATTTGATTATTGTTCAATATATTTCTCTCTATCTATGAAAATAGATGTGGCTGATCCATTATACAGAAACTCGAGTTTAGCAAAAGTGGGAGAAAGGAAATTTGAACAGATTAATTTAACTTCGATTGGGAACTCAAACTGAATACTGCGAAAAGCTTTATCTAAAAATGCAAAGTTATTCGTTTCCCACCATTCATAAGGACTTGTGTATAAAGGAGCCAAGAAGAAAAGATCATAACAAAGGATGCATGTACTTTAACAACAAAAATAAAAAGAAGTAGAAATAGGACGACAATTTAATAACTTAGTTTTCTAAAATACATGATAAATAAATTCGAAATTAGTGAGTTGGACCATCTATTGTGTTGGTAAATTTTTTGATAAAAATTAAATATTTTGGACCATATTATGAAATTAATTTTCGCTGGTTTTAGCTCGACGTACAAATATTGGATCAACTATCTACAAAACCTCTTACATATGAACACAAACCTATGTAGGGTTTTCACAGTTAATATTTTATATATGTCCTAAAATCGAAAGTACTTTTTGTGTTGCGTTAGAGTCATTTTAAAAAAAAAGAAGGCTAGAGTCATGTTTACATGTAACGTAGTTAGAATTGGTTTTCTCATGATTTACTCTTGTAACTTAAGAGGCCATCTATTTAACAAAAAAAAAAAGAAAAAAAAGAGGCCATCTATTTACTAACACAACGTGCTATGCTTTTGTGGCATTTGTATTATTAGACTCGTGTCTGGTTCGCAAGGACAGGCAAAGTTTTCAAGACTCTCTCGCTTTGTGGTTCAGGGTATCTAACCTCTACCTGTAACTTTTTCTTTGTTTCTTGCCTTCATTGTTTTTTGGCCGAAGGTTCCCAGACACTCTAGATCTAACTTTATACTAAAAAATTACGAGATCAGATACGTCGTTCGAACATGGAGACATGTCAATCATCGACGGCTTAGGAAAATAATAATAATGGAAGTCGGAGAGACCAACATCACTTCTTTCTTTATAATAGTCAATATATGTTTGGCGTACATAATGCTTATGG